GCTATGAACATGGGTGCACATATATCACTGTGGTGTGATTCTTTTAATTCTTTGGGGAAGATCCCCAGCAGTGGAATAGCTGGGTCAAATGGGACTTCCAGTCCTAGTTCTTTGAGGTATCTCTATATATTTTAGATATCTTATATAAGAAAAATCAGGCGATATTTAAGCTTGTGTGTCTGATTTATTTCACTTAGCATTATTAAATTTTGTCATAGTATATAATTTGTTTAGTTTAATATTATCTGTTGTTAATCTCCTTCATGCATAATTTATAAGTTAAAATTTGTTATAGGCATGTACATGTAGGAAAAACCAGAATCCTGTGGTTCAGTACCATCAGAAGTTTCAGGGGGATAAGAAAGGACTACTATACAGTGCTTTAATTTTAAAATGGTGACGAAAAATTAGAAGTAACTGTTATGTTCAAAGGCTAGGTGATTAAAGATGAAATATGGTGCATTCAAATAGTGGTAATAAGGTCATGTTTTTTGAGTACACAGTGATGGGAAAATGTTACAGTATGATACCAAGTAGAAGAAGAGTGGGATACAAAAGCATATAAAATTGATCCTCGTTTTTTAAAAAGTGTGTGACATTGAAAAAATACTAAAAAGGAATATCTCAGATGTTAAATGAGGTCAATTCTGAACAATGATTTTGTGTCTGAATTTTCCAAACTTTCTGCAATGCACACATTGTTTTATAATTAGAAAAGGAACAATAAAATTGTAAAATATCCCCATTTCCTGAGAAGATTAAACAGACTACTGAGTCCCACTGAGATGACATTTTTGCAATGGAAGAGCCCTTCTGTACCAGCAGGGTCCGTTAGATCAGCCCCTGCAGGCCACTCCACTTTACGATGGACTTTAAAGAGAGAGAACAGTTGGGGACCCCGGTCCTACCACTGGCAAAGTCACAATTAGAAGTTAAAGCAGTCATCAGAAAAAAAATCCCTACAATGTCAGGGATGATGACGGCTTCAATTCCTCAAATAGGAAGGAGCAGAGAAGACAAGACTGAAAAACTTAAGCAGAGAGACTATGCATGATAAGGTCCTTAAAACAAGGTTAGCCCTCAGAGCTTGGGGTGGGGGAAGATCGGGGATAAGACCAGGAGCTCTTGGGCTGAGGGCTTCTTTCAATACTTGTAGATGTTTACCTCTCTATGTATTGATCTGTGAAATGGGGAGCTTGGTTAGACCTGTGCTCTCCATTTTGTTTCTGAGTAGGAGACTGGCTCAGTTTTTGCTTTGAAGTCAGGCATCCTGCCCATCCATCCTTCTGATTGGGGTCCAAATGGGATTCCAGACACTAGCTGCCCTGTGGACCAGGGAGCACCAGATACACAGACTGTAGAGCCTGTGGGGCTGTGTGTTATAGTGGCTCTGAGGTGGGCCTGGTTTTTAATCCTTAGTCTTCTTCCTTATAGACCAAGAGCAACAATGCCTCCCTTATCAGCCCCCCAAGCTGATGGTAAGGTTCTAGAGCTAGGATGCAGGAAGATGCTTTTGGACTCTGTAGCCCTAACAATGACATTGTGATGCTCCAACATACTTCTTTCTCCCTAGGAAATGCTTCCACGAGAAGGAGGAGAGGAAGGGAAGATGTTTCTGTGATGCTGCCAGGCCTGCGAGTAATTATGTCACTATCTCTTACACTCTTTTGTATTCTGTTGCCAACTGAGGTTCCCACTATTGTGTTCGGACCATGGCAGGGACCATAGAGACTGTTAGGATGAGCTGTCATTGCACACTAGACCATCAGTGCGCAGTAAACAGGAATCACTATAAATGGAAT